CTGGGGATTCTTATTTAATAATATTCTTTTCGTTATCAAATATTGAATTGTTTCACATTAAATAATTTTCAAGAAAAAAACAAAAACGTTTTATTTCATATTTTATTAAAATAAGAAATATCTTATCTCTTTATTAGTCAAATGTACACTGAAACATACTTATGTTTATTTATTCAATTGAGTTTTAAAATAAAAATTTTGTATTTTTCTAATCATAGAATGTTTCTGTAAAACCTGACACATTAAGGGCAACTCTTTAAAAGGAAAGAAAGATATTAAACTTACTGCCACATTTCCATTTTCAAACAATAAAAATCTTTCTTATAAACATAATACTGTAGTTTTATTTAAAATTTAATACTTATAAACTAATTGTTTTTCTTAATTTTGTATTTATCTATTATTATGTTTTTAACCTTCGTGAAAGGTATACTCTCTGATTTTGAGATTTGTAACCTTTACACACCAGGCTTCATAATACACAAAGACGTTATTGTATCGTTGCAAATGTCGGTAGACTTTGTTTACATTGAACAATTAGGCTAAGAAATAGGATAAGAGCATCAAATATGTACTTATAATTCAACGCACTTTGCATAATCGTCAGAAATGAAATAGTCACTTTTATCCTTAACAGAAATATTTATATTTTTCTTAAAATTTGTACAATTCTTTCTATATAAAAATTATTAATTTGTATATAAATCTAAAATTATAATTGCACGTATTACAATTATCTTATTTGAAGATAATCTGCATTCTTTTAGAAACATAATGTTTAAGTTTTAGTATAAATTTAGAAAACATAGAAATGTTTGTTACGAAAGCTGAGGTTCCGGTCCAACTCCGCCTGCATGTCTGTGCACCAATAATGCTACAGCTGTAATAAATTTATTAAGATCATTTGGATCTTCACATTCTGCATATACTCGCACCACATTTTCAGTTCCTGATGGTCTGAAAATTTATAGCATTGATTAAAAAATTATTTCAGGCTGTAAAATGAATATAATAAATATAAGTAAAAAGTATTAAATATATAGAAATTTGACTTTACCTTACAAAGGATCGACCTTTGCTATACTGCAATACTACACGATCAATTTCATCTTGTAATCCTTTAGGTGATACACATCGCCTTTCAGCATCAGTTGTAGTTATAACATTTTTGTCATTGACTTTTATCAATAATTGTTTGTTTGGTAAATCTTTATAACTTTTTTCCCAATCTATTATACTCCAACCTTTCGCATGCAAAATTGTTTCCACTAATAACATATCACTAAAGGCATCACCAACTGATTGATTTATTACATCAATTATATTTAATAATGTAGAAGCAGCTGCTGTTTGTGAAGCAGTTAGGCTAACAGGAACGAACAAATTATTATGTGTTAATGTATTAATTTACAATGAATATTATTAGTAGTATAAATACATTTTAATAAAACTTACTTAGGATTTGTAGTAGCATTTTTAAGAGTTTCAATGACAATGTCCTTAAACAAAACAGTTCCATGTCCATTAGCTTCAAAATATACACCTATTTCAAATTTTAAGGCTTCGTTGTGAAGATGTTTCACACCAGTTGGTGCACATACTACTGGAATTTGCTGGAAATAATTGTTAATCAATGATAATGAATTGTCATTCACGGTAATAATACTAGTTATTTCACCTTACCAGTATATTTGAAATGTAATTGGTAGAACCACCATTAGCATAAGCTGTCTGTACCAATCCCAAATGAAAAAGATCTATGAAAGAGTTTAACTCTTGTAAGAGTTCTTTGAAATATCCAGCAATAAGTGTGGCTATTCTGTCACCATCTAAAAGATGGAATTTATTGTTTTCGTCGACATAAAAATATATTACTCTATCTGCATCACCGTCTATAGACACACATCTAACATTAGTTTCGACACTAAAATTTGTAGGTGGTACTTGTTTCACTTTAATATAATCAGCTCCACACTGAAAGAATTCTTTTTGCTTATTGACATGTGTGTCCAAATTATGTTAAATAAACGATATAAAAACATATTATACCATATGGTTCAATTCTCCATTTCCATCATTATATAAATTAATTATTAGTGATGTTCCTAAATATTCTTGAAACTTTTTTCCAGCCATTGCACCAACGCCATTAGCAGCATCTAACGATAATTCTGCTACATAGTGACCATTATTCATTTTATCTTGTCTAATATGCTTAAATGATTTTGATATTTTTTCATAATAGCCATGTAATGTAGCATTGCCATACTTATTGTTATTTGTGCAAACAACAAGGTAATGTAATTGAGGAGTTGTAATTACTCCAAAGTCTTTTATTGTTCCATTTAAGGCTTGAATTCCTGCAATAGCAGCATTGAATAACACTGGACCACTTTCCCTGGTATCTCTACCAACTATTACTGTTGCTGTTGCAGACATATTAATATTTTGCTCTCTTATAATTTGTTCCACATTAGAAACAAGCTTTGAATCTTCTACATTAGCTAAATTAGTAGCAATAAGTTCCCAAGAAGCTTCTAACATTTCACCAGCTGGATCTACAAGTTTTACACCATTATCTGATCCAATGTTATGGCTTGCAGTAATCATTAAACCAATTGCAGCTGTTAAAGGACAAAACTTCAAATTAATAATAGAAAATAGGATATGTGAACAATAAAATTTGATTATATTTACCATTCTTCATTTTAGATCTTAAAACAGCTAAAATTCCCATCCTATAGAGAACATGTTCTAGAAGATGAGCACTAGAATGAAATATTAAAACATTTACAAAAGAAATTGAATTAGTCATTTCTTAAATAATCTCTCTTTTTTTTGTTCGAAATACTTACGTTGTTCGAAAACCGGCAGTACCATATTGTATGTAATTGCTATATTTTTTATTATAGTTTTCATTAAATATGGATTCCAATTGTGAAAATTCCATCTTTTTATTATCGTATTATTGTTTTGTTACTAAAATTTAAGTAAAATCTTTAATGTGTATGTATAATGTATTGTATACAGTACACGCAACACCTGTTACATCCGTAGTTCCGTAGTTAGGAATACGTATAGTATTCATCATATACATAACATCAAAAAGTGAAAGTAAAGATTATGATTTTACAAAAGTCATAAGTACATATTGCATATCAAAATTTTATTTTATTTAAAATTGATGCAAAATGATGAATTAAAACTTGAATTAAATGGACCGTATTTGCTAAGATGCATTTCTTTAAATGTGATAGATAATTTAACCTTATTTATTATTTCGTATATTTCTGTCAATTAGTGGAAACAAATTACCTTGATGAGCTGCTATATATCATTTCTATTTTTCTACATGTAAATTATTTTAGCAACATGAAGCGGAATCACCGGATTTTTCGGCTCAACAAGTACATAATCATTCAATTGTATATTTTCATTGCCTATAATGACAGATTTATAATATGTTCTCTGGTTATCAATAGCAATTTGTTTTCCCACCTATATAATATATTTTTTAAACTCTTCGAAAGCTTTCTTTCTGCTTTCTTCTTCAATATTTTTACTGTCTACCTAACCTTGAACTTTAATCATTGTTAATAAAAATATGTCTTCAATTCGTAATCATTAAATATTTAGTAAAACAAAACAAACGATACTTTTAGTGTTTTAGATAAAACTGTTATTTTCCTTGTCAGATCAAATAATGTTGATGTCTCGCTGTTTGATTGACAGATAATACGAATAAATAAAGATTTACATATGCGTAGTACGATATAATCATTTATTAATATATATACCTATTCAACTTATTCAACAAATTATCTAAGCACATGTAGCACATACGACGAAAATTATCCAACTCTTCTATATCTCACGATCGCGAACTTAATCATACACAAATAATTAAAAATCTAGATAAAGATACATACACATATATAACGCATGTTGTGAAAGCGATTGCACACATTTGATAAAGTAAGGTAAACATTGTTGATGTTATGATAAATTGATATTACTTAATAGAAAAAATAGATTTCTATAATGTCTTATTTTATATTAATACGTTTGTATCCTTATCAGTTTGATAGAGATTGATTTTTTAACAAGAGGCTTTTAAACTCTGTTTAGTCTATTCTTTGAGGATAGCAACAGTTAAAATCTTTTCTGNGGCTCAACAAGTACATAATCATTCAATTGTATATTTTCATTGCCTATAATGACAGATTTATAATATGTTCTCTGGTTATCAATAGCAATTTGTTTTCCCACCTATATAATATATTTTTTAAACTCTTCGAAAGCTTTCTTTCTGCTTTCTTCTTCAATATTTTTACTGTCTACCTAACCTTGAACTTTAATCATTGTTAATAAAAATATGTCTTCAATTCGTAATCATTAAATATTTAGTAAAACAAAACAAACGATACTTTTAGTGTTTTAGATAAAACTGTTATTTTCCTTGTCAGATCAAATAATGTTGATGTCTCGCTGTTTGATTGACAGATAATACGAATAAATAAAGATTTACATATGCGTAGTACGATATAATCATTTATTAATATATATACCTATTCAACTTATTCAACAAATTATCTAAGCACATGTAGCACATACGACGAAAATTATCCAACTCTTCTATATCTCACGATCGCGAACTTAATCATACACAAATAATTAAAAATCTAGATAAAGATACATACACATATATAACGCATGTTGTGAAAGCGATTGCACACATTTGATAAAGTAAGGTAAACATTGTTGATGTTATGATAAATTGATATTACTTAATAGAAAAAATAGATTTCTATAATGTCTTATTTTATATTAATACGTTTGTATCCTTATCAGTTTGATAGAGATTGATTTTTTAACAAGAGGCTTTTAAACTCTGTTTAGTCTATTCTTTGAGGATAGCAACAGTTAAAATCTTTTCTGGCACTTTCAAAAATTTATTAAAATTACTGACAGCATGAGGTATCAACATGAAAAATTAGTTTATGAAATCCCAAACGATCTGAGGAATGCACTTAATGATAAGTACATATGTAATGTGTTGTATCAAATTTAAAAATATGAAAGGATTAACAGTGCTTTTTTAGAACTCTTATTTTTTAGTCAATTTTATAGCTGTCAAGTAGTTGCTAATGTTTAAAAGAAAAGTGCATGTAAAAATCATTCAATGAAAAAAATATTTACTTTTATTTTTTTGATCTTAAAGTTCAAAATTGACAGTTTAATTTAGAAATAAATAACATAACTGTGTTATAAAAATCAAAAGCTATGGGAGCTGTACTTTATATATAACATAAATTAAATAAATATTTTCATAAAGTATTACAATAATTTTATAAGCAAGGTAATTAATAAAACTGTATTAAAGACTAGTTGATTTTTGTTAATACATAAATGAAAATTATTCTTTTAAATACTTTAGTTAGAACTATTATTAGCTACTTCAGTCTTTATAGAATTTAGTTCTAATTTGATATCATCATGAATCTCTGTGGTTATATTCTCGTCTTGTATGCATTTCCTTATCTCATGTCCAATGGCTGCTCCAAGTGGTGGTGGAACTGCATTTCCAACTTGTCGATGTTTATCCAGTATAGTTCCATAAAATCGAAAGCTATCTGGGAATCCTTGAGACCTTGCACATTCACGTACACTGACCACTCGAGATTGTACTGGATGCAACACTCGACCCTAATACGAGTGGATTTATATGTTTTTATCAAATTTTTATTAACTATTTCTTAAATAGTACCTGTTTTCCCATAGGTTCAGGATTTGTGATAGTTGTACTAAAAAATCCATTCCATTCTAATCTACCATATAAACCAGCCCAATGATTATGACGATTTCCCGTATGTGGAAGGCACCATGGAATCAGAGTGTTAAATTGTCGATCTGCAGGATCACATGCTTTCCCTAAGCAACAACTGCATACTCCACGATATGCTCCATCGAAACTTCTCCCAACCTTTTTATCATCATAAATATATTCCCTTAAATACAGATAAAATACATTTAAAAATATTTTGAATTATGTAAAATTATACTAAATAATCTATATACAATTTTTTTGAATATGTCCCATCACTTAATCTGATTGCAATGTTTGGCAAATCACGCCAATCTGAACCACTAGCAATTGGAATGTGTGCTATTCTGGCTTCTACAAGGGGTGCCATTTCTTTACATATATGATCTCTTAACAAGGGTTGGTATTGTTTTGCTCTCATCTACAATAATACAAAATTAAAAATCTTATAACAGTTATTGTCAATTTTATTACTTTTCGCTGAAAATGTGATATTGGTTCACTGCTATAAGACATGTCTTCCTTATTCCATCCATTTTTTATTTCTGGTAAATCAGACATGGAATCTCTGACACTAATTGTTCTATATGGCGCTGAATCTATCCAAGTACAATTAGAGCTATACTAAAATAATATATTTAAAATAAGTATAATTTATAAGAATCTTTGTAATAATGATAAAAATAATATATGACATTAAATAAAAATAAAATGTAATATTATTTACCTTTTTATTATTGACCAAAACACTTAATTGACATGCACGTTTGCTGAAGACATGTGTAGGTTCTGGATAATTTGGAAGTATTTGTCCAGGTGCAGCAGCCAGAATGATCATTCTACGCAATTTAAAAGAATAAAGTTTGTGAAATAATAAAGCTGTGCTATAATTACATTATTCAAAAACAAACCTTCGTCTCGTTTGAGGCACTCCGTAATTTCCAGCTTGGAGAATACCAAATGTGCATTGGTAGCCCATTCGTACTAGACATCGCAGTGTTAATTTTAACACCATACTTTTTTTGAAAGATACAAAATTTCTAACATTTTCCATTATAAAGAACTTGGGTCTATAGTAATCACAGTATGATAGGTAAGATACGACAAGGGAGTTTTTAAATAAAGAGTATTGTCGTGAATTGAAACGATTCATGCCACTGAATCCTTGACACGGCGGACCACCACACAGTAACTCCACTTGTCCTTTCTGAGGTAGTGTTTGGCCAATGTTATCTGTGATATCACCCTGAAGAATTTATCGAATCTATTGCGTAATAATATCACGAAAAAATGTTATCAAATAATTTAAAATACTAACATCCATAACTTTCTTCAATAATATATTACAGTCCTCTGTAAACACTGTTGTGTTTGGATTATTTAATCGGTATGCATGAGCAGCTGGTTCTTCTTTCTCAATAGCCCATAAACATTCAGCAACGCCAGCTTGATGTAAACCTTCTGATAGCCCTACAGTAAAACAGTTACTTATTTAATTTTTGAATTATTATATTAAAGAAACATAATAAAATACATACCACCACAACCAGCAAATACGTCCAGCGTCTTCAATTTATTTATTCCTACATTGTATTCAGTAGGCTTATTCACAATTGTCTTCTTCTGATTTTCCTCAGTTTTCTTCCCCTTAAGTTTCAAGTTACCTTTACCTTTGCTAGTCTTCCCAATGCTAATGGCGTGATAAGGTGGCTCGTCAAATGTTTTTTCTTGTAGATTGTAAACTTCATTGAAATAAAATCGATTTGGTCCTAATGCAGACCATTCATCAATTGGTTGATTTAAATTTTCAGAATAAGCGAGATAGCACTTATTAACAACATCACTAAATTTGATAGTGTACACTATAAAAATGATTTTATATCATATGCAGCTGGAACATTCATCATAAATGTGCAACATACCTTCGTCGCTCCAATAAACCATATTTACATCAAGTTGTTCCACTGATGTAGGATCTTTATGGGTATTTTCAGGTCTATATAATTTATTTACTTTAATGTTAATATCAGAAGGTGAAACTATAACGTCATTTGTAATAGCATATATCATATTTATATATCCTATACAAAAGGGTTCAGGAGTATCATAATTTGAACCCTTGATATGATCAGACGATTTTCTATAAAATTCGGGATACATATCTTCATCTACATTTTCCTTTTTCACTTTTACATCTTGATTCATAGTTTTATGTTTAAATTTAAATGTCCCTGGCTGCAAAAATACTGCAGTACCAACTCTATACTCTTCGCCTTTGTATTTTATTACTCCATAAATGACTTCTCTGCTACTTTTCTCTTCTATTTTCTCGTATACCTTGAAATATTTTTTAATATTAACATTTTACACAATAATTATTTTTAATTTTGCATACCTTTGGCGTATTGTATTGTTCTAGTGTGTGTAAACGAACACAAGCAGCACAAAAGCGATGTATATTCTCTTTTCGATGACATTCAGGATCAGGTGAAGGATCCTCAAATCGAGCAGTTTCAGGTGTATAACGTTTTTGATAAAAAAACGTCTTGCCATCTATGTCTTTTACTTCATTTTCAAGACTTAAATTCGTATTACCTATCACATTATACATATAACACATCTTAAATAATCGAGTACATTATTTTATAATATTAAATTCTTACCTAGATCAACCCAATTGTCTGAAACTTTTTTAAAAACGACAGTACATTTGGATCTGATGGATGTAAAAGGTACATCATCACAATCATCACTCAAAAACAATTCTATAGGATCTGATGTTTCTCCCAAAATTGTATCGTTTCCTCTGTGGAACCAATTAGCATGGAATTGCTTTATACCATTTCTATTTTCCCACATGTAAATTATTTTAGCAACATGAAGCGGAATCACCGGATTTTTCGGCTCAACAAGTACATAATCATTCAATTGTATATTTTCATTGCCTACAATGACAGATTTATAATATGTTCTCTGGTTATCAATAGCAATTTGTTTTCCCACCCATACAATATCTTTTTTAAATTCTTTGAAAGCTTTCTTTCTGCTTTCTTCTTCAATATTTGTACTATCTATAACAGTTTCAAACTGTTCTTCATTCTCTGGATCAGAGTCATCTGCTTCCTAAATAGAAACATATAAGTTTAGCTAAATTTAATAAATATCAAATAATTAAAGAAAGAGCATTATATTGTTATTTATACTTGAATGGCCATATTTGGACATCTTCTTTTAACACAAGCCTGCTTGCTCCTTCCACTTCCTCCAAATTTAATCATATCTTTACAAGCACTGCAAAGACCACAATCGGGTTGTTGACAATTTTCACATACTCCACACCTTTGTCGTTTAGGCCCCTATATTATATTACAAATTTATATTACTTAAAATGTATTTCTAAAATAACGATTATACAAATATCTACCATTGTTATTTTATCATCGTGTTTAATCAACTGATCAGTAAAAATATTTTCGAACATATTGTTCACTAATTGAGTTGTAGTTGCTTTTGTCCAGGCAGGTTTTTTAATTTTCTGTTCGCGACGCTGTGTTCTACGAAGTGCTGCTTTTTTACCCAATGTAACACCTGCCAGATTAGCTAATGCTCGCATACAAGGACTTGTGATAAGGAGCACATCGTCTGAATCAGCAGAATTATCAAATGACAATACTTGATCGCATACAAACTGTGCATGTCGTAGTAAAATATCTTCGCTGAATCTTGTAATACCTTTAGGTGGAACAACTGTCTGAAAATTATGTTATNGGCTCAACAAGTACATAATCATTCAATTGTATATTTTCATTGCCTACAATGACAGATTTATAATATGTTCTCTGGTTATCAATAGCAATTTGTTTTCCCACCCATACAATATCTTTTTTAAATTCTTTGAAAGCTTTCTTTCTGCTTTCTTCTTCAATATTTGTACTATCTATAACAGTTTCAAACTGTTCTTCATTCTCTGGATCAGAGTCATCTGCTTCCTAAATAGAAACATATAAGTTTAGCTAAATTTAATAAATATCAAATAATTAAAGAAAGAGCATTATATTGTTATTTATACTTGAATGGCCATATTTGGACATCTTCTTTTAACACAAGCCTGCTTGCTCCTTCCACTTCCTCCAAATTTAATCATATCTTTACAAGCACTGCAAAGACCACAATCGGGTTGTTGACAATTTTCACATACTCCACACCTTTGTCGTTTAGGCCCCTATATTATATTACAAATTTATATTACTTAAAATGTATTTCTAAAATAACGATTATACAAATATCTACCATTGTTATTTTATCATCGTGTTTAATCAACTGATCAGTAAAAATATTTTCGAACATATTGTTCACTAATTGAGTTGTAGTTGCTTTTGTCCAGGCAGGTTTTTTAATTTTCTGTTCGCGACGCTGTGTTCTACGAAGTGCTGCTTTTTTACCCAATGTAACACCTGCCAGATTAGCTAATGCTCGCATACAAGGACTTGTGATAAGGAGCACATCGTCTGAATCAGCAGAATTATCAAATGACAATACTTGATCGCATACAAACTGTGCATGTCGTAGTAAAATATCTTCGCTGAATCTTGTAATACCTTTAGGTGGAACAACTGTCTGAAAATTATGTTATCAATATGAGGCAAAAATATTAAAAATAGTATTCTTAAAAGTATATTTTTATTACTTGAAGTTTGTTCAGTAAATCTTCGTAGGTTGGATTAAGTTCATCTAACAGAAATTCAATGACCAGTTTACTGATATATATCTTTTCTCTAACAAGATCTATGAAAGGAATATATGCTTCTGATGGTTCCATTAAAATATATTCAGCAAATGCTGTATTGAATCCAATAAGAGCTAGTTCACCTCCATCAAAACCAGAAACATACCACTCATTTATCGGTCCCATGTCCTTAGTAGGTACTCCACCTTCAGGTGATGCATCTTCTTCATAAATTGCTTTCATGTAGCCAGAGAAATATAAAGATACATTTTTTTCTATAAGTCCAGCATCAAATGGACATAAATGACCATTTTTATCATAAACACTATAGTATGAAAAGGACAGAAGTATATGTAAATTATATATTGCAAATAATTATAAATCACATAATATAAATTACAAATTAAGCAATGCTTTGTTAAAATAATAAATATATAGCTTTACCTAAAATGAGTTAATTTATTTTGCGGATGTTCATCACTTTCATGTATGAATGACTCATCACCACTAAATAAACATAATTTTGAATCAGTTAAAGCAACAAATTCATCAACAGCTCCATTTGGATGTCCTGGATAAAATCTTACATCATTCAATTTTTGACGACAATATTCACATTTTTCAAAAATAGTATTCACTTTCTTAGTTTGAATTTTTACTCCACTTATATCACATTCAATTTTAACTTTTTTTTCAATATTTTCTTCTAAATATTCTTCATTTACAGTTGGACTTTGATTTTCTTTATTAGATTCATTGTTTACAAGAATACTTTTTCGTGTATTTTGTATCTCTTCATCATTATTAACATCTGAATCCCTTCTTTTTCTTTTAGCAATTTGTTTTAGAAACATATCAATTATGGTTGGCTCATGTTTAGTAGATTTTGTACTGCCAGGTTTCATAATGATATAAAAGCTTATTATTATAAATATTTAAATACCAACTAATTTGTTTAATACTAAAACAAAAATACACTTGTGTAAATATAGAACTAGAAAATATTTCTATAATTGAAAGATTTATATAACCAATTAAAAGAAATATTTTACCTTCATTGGGTTAATAAATGCAGTGCAATTTCAGTACATAAAGATCTACTGTAATTTCATTTTCACAATTTTGGACAGTTGAATGGTAAGATCAGTTGGATATTACACATTAGACTATGTTAATTTTAAATCCTTGTGCGTTTACCTGCGGTTACCTTTTCCCGCCTTTAAACACTATTGCCAAAGTAACATTCCTATCTATGCAAAGGAATACAGTAATGAATGTATGTATATCGCATGTGATTTCAAGTCTCTATTTATAAATAATTATTTCTCTCTGTACTTATTTATATTCTAATCAATTTTAAAATTTTTGATTAAGATAATACTATTATTTTAGATCTTAATACACGTTGTACATTATGCACATATGTATGTATTACAATTTCCTTAATTTTGTATAAGTTAAGTTGGTAGAAATGAATAGTAATCCATCAAATATATGTATATACATATATGTAAACGTATTACAAAACATAAATACTTGCATACGCAAATGATTGTACATCAAAGCTAGTGTGTCCATTGGTGTCTAGTGTGTCCAATGATGTCAGGGATTCTATTCAGAATCTGATCCAAGTGGTGGAGAGAAGACCTCACAAATGAGATTGGACGATTCCAATGGATTGCCTATGGCATCATCCAATCCTATTTGTGGTGGGAAATTCCCCCACTTCTACTTTTCTGGAAGAAACTGGTAAAGCGGTCAGGAAGCTGGCTGGGAGCTCTGATTGTATATGTACACATCATTTCAAACGATTCCTTTGCTAGTCGTCAGCAGTCGTCAGTACTGCGCGCGAAAAAAGAAATTTGTTTACATGGTTTTACAATCTATTAAATAGAGGATAAGTGTCGGCTTTATGTTTTGTGATATTTATAAATAATGTTTGTGTAATTCAAATTCATATTGTAATGTACTGATACTATCATATGATCTAAATAGATAACCAATAATAGTAAAACATTTTTTATATAATGTTGTTTTAACTTCTGTCAACGTAAGACAAATTCAAAATGAAATTATACTGCAACATAGAAGTTAATAATAGAGTTTCGTCTACAAATATAATACGACGAAAATCACAGCGTTCAATTTTAGCAATTGGAAGGCACACAGTAAAAGGCAATGATTTGTACTTTCTTTGGCAAACATTACAAAATAAACAGGGTATTAAATATAAGGTAAAAAGTCTAGTTATTTTAATTAAAGAATGAAATAATAAAAAGAATTTAAATTTATTGTTTAAATATTTTCAGATTGATAATAACATAGATAAAATTTTTAGCAAATTTATTAATCAAGGAAAGGCAACAATACGTCTTATAGAACCACCACATGATTTAATTATTCAAGCTGATACGATTCAACTGAAAAGTTTTATGCGTATATTAAAGCTAGGAATGTCTAAACAAATGGATGCGTCAGTTCTAGCTATTTCAAATTTGAACCCAGTACGTATGGCTTCTGTTCCAAAAATTAAAGTTGTGGTTAATAAATCTTCTGAGTACCCAATTTTGGAGGGTTTCCCAAGAACTACTGAAGAATTGTACTTAGTTGGGTTAGACAGAAAATCTTTTGATAGACAAATTTTAAGGCTTCAAAGCTTGAGAATATTAAACTTATCCAACAATAGGATTTCATCTTTGCCTAAAGAATTAGGTTCATTACAACATTTACAAGAACTTAATCTATCACAAAATTGCCTTGATAAAGCTGTGAAATGGGTATGGCTAGATCAACCTGCTATAAAGAATAATTTAAAATTATTGGACATAAGCGATAATATGGTATGTTAATATTTTATAAATAAGTAATACTGATATATTTAATTATTGTATAATTCATACTTTTTATACAGTTAACTATGATACCAAAAGAGATTGGAAAGCTTCATGCTATTGTTAATTTCAAAGCTAGTAAAAATGTATTATCATATTTACCACAAAGTCTGGGATCATTACCAAATTTGAAATATTTAGATGTATCAAAGAATAAATTAAAATATTTGCCAGGAAGTATGAGAAACTTGCGATTAATTTTGTTAGATGTGTGTGAAAATAAATTTGATGGTGAAAATGTGAATTTTGTAACTGACATAGATGTACTCAAATTAGTTGAGTGCGCTGGCAAATCAATTCTTAAAGCAAGGTTTGTAATACATAATTATTAATATAATTAGTAAAACTGTTAATTTTATGTACATATTTTATTTTTTAGGCTTTCATATGATGCCAGTACAATTCCACTAACATTAGTAAAATATTTGGATGCAGCAAAGTATTGTGTCTGTGGCAATCCTTGTTTTGATTCTTACAGAAGAAAATTTGTAGAATTCCTTTTGACTACAATAGCAAATAGTGTAAAATCATCAGGACATATTACAGTACCATTTGATTGTTATTTTTGTTCAAGTAATTGTGTACGTATTTTTGCAAGAGTGAAGTATTAAGATAGTTAAATTTTTACTTTTATATAAGAGACTGTAATTTATTTTTTATTACAAAATANGTACAAAAAACAATAAAAATAATTTGTATAAGTTATATAAATTTTGATAAAAAAAAATATGATTATAAATTATATAATAATTTTCTCATGGAAAATTTGTAATCATTT